TTTATCATATTTTTTTAGATAAAAATAATTATTTTTTATAAATATAAATAAATTTCAACAAAAAAAAGTGAAAAGATAAATGTTTGAAATTTTATATAAATATAATGTGTAAAATTTATGTATAAATAAATCTCTATTTTAATTTAAATAATAAGCAAATATTAGAGTTGAGATGCTGGATAGCAAAACGTATTTGCAATGTGGGTACCCGCATTTGGTATTTTGATACTGGCATGAGATTAAGATACATAAATTGTAAGTATATAGTATTTGGATTAGAGTATTTTTTGTTTTTTATCGATAAAATTAATTTTGGCTTAAAAAAAGTTTGAAGTAGAAAAAAAATAAATTTATTTTTTTTATGTGAAAGTAAATACATTAATATTATAGTTATAATATTATTTAAAATTGTAAGTTTGTAATTATGACATGATATAAAAAAATACAACATATTATTAAATAAATAAATAAGTATAATATTTTAAGTGAAATTTTAGATAAAAAATAATTATATAATAATATATTATATTATAATATTATATAATGTTGTAACTATATTATTTTTAAAATAAATATATCTCTTAAAATATGATAAATAATAGTTAACTTGAGACAAATTTTGAGTGAAAGACCACTGAATGAAGGGAATACGTTAAAATTAGTTGTTGTATCAACATTACAAATAGATTCTTAAATTAAAAAAATTATTTATATAATAATATATTATAAATATAATTTATAATATTACATAATATTATAATTATATTATTTCTAAAACGTCATAATTAATTAACCTTTCAAATGATTCGTGTTAGGCAAAACAAATAATCAACTACGAAATCTTAAAGTCTTAAACTCCTTCCTTTCAGGAAAGAGTTGTTATAAAGAGATTAGATCAGCAGAAATTACGGGTTAAGCATCCCTTAATGATGTGTTTATTTCACATGGGACTAATTAGGACTGGGGTTAATCAGTCCTGGGGACACGACTCGGTGAAGCTCTGTTGGTACTGTAGATTTGAAAAATGATTTACTAAGAACGTTTTTTAACAATTAAATCACTGGAAACGAGGAAGTGTTGTAATTCTTATTAATAGTTTAATTTGAGTATAATGTTTAATATTATATATATTTATTTAATATTATATAAGTATTATGAAAATAATATAATTATAATATTATATAATATTATAAATTTATAATATAATAAATTATGATATAATTGATTTGTTTATTTAAAATCATACTCATAATATTATATATGTATATATATATTTATTTAATAATATATCATAATTATAAATTTATAATTTTACATTTTATTATAATAATTGTAGTATTACTAAATAACATTATAAGAATACTATTGTAGAAAAACAAAAAGGCAGTAGATTTTGCCCATTTTCTTGTTGATTAAAAACAAGACCAGCTGAGAAATTACAAATGAACCAATTAGAGGTGTATTAATTCTTTTTTGGTGTATACGATTATGACTTACATAGATTTTTAAATTCTTCTTCAACCATGACTTAGGTTCAGGAAATTTTTTTTTTTTTAACAGGGAAAATAAGAATTTTTTTAAGTTATTTGTCGAAACAAAACTTTTAATCAACTAAATTTAAATATTAAGATTAAAAAATGCGGTAACTCGATTCAAGTTAGGTGAAGATTAGAATATAAGATTTCTTACGTAGGTAATCTAGAATCTTGTCCTCTATGCTCGGATTAGTATCGATCTTATCTTATGTTCAACTAACAGACATCACAATCTCAATTCTCATCCATGAAATAATTCGGTCCACTAAACAAGGCAAGTTTGACCCGTACGTTAAGACTTTTCAAATATGGACGGACCTACTCAACCTCCAAAAAGATTCCAAATCTCAATATTTTTTTAAAAATGCTATTAGAATAATATTTTTATTTTATTTTTTAATATAATTTAATATGTTATTAAAATAATTAATTTTTTAATTTATATAAAATTTTTAATATTAAATATATATATTTATTTAATAATATATAAAAATTACATAAAAGAATAAAACAAAAATTATCACAATAGCACCACTCATATTTTTTTTAATGAGAAAAACGACCGTGCGTTTAATTGGTTGTGGTTGGTCACGATTCACGAATACACGTAAATTTGTCAAAGTTGCCCAGTTTATTTGATGTTTTGTTTTTCTTTTAGTTTTAATTTAGTCATCCCAAAAAATTAAGATATTTTCACATTTAAAATATTTATTATAATTATTTGTTAAGTGAGTTTATGGGTAAAGTTCATTCATGAATGACCGTAATAGAGGTTATGAGCACTGTAACGTTTTTATTCATATTTCTATTTAGTTTATTATACTCAATATTTTTTTTGAAGTGTTTAAATTTAGGGAAAAATTATATTAATCTTAATTTTAAAAATAATTATAGTTTTAATATTAAATTATATCATTTTATTTAATTAAAACTCGATTCAAAATTTATAAAATTATCTTATTAAATGTTGATATCTAAATTTAAAAACTTATTATATAAAATATATAATGAGTTTTTAAATTTATATATCAATATTTAATATAATGAGATTTCAGTTCTCACATGTATATTGAGACTCTAACTATTTTCTAAAGTCAAAATTGATATGTACTAATTTTTTAAATTTATTTATTTATTTATTAATATATTTTTAATGTATTTATTTTATTTTATCTTATTTTTAAAAAGATAATTATAATGCATAAAAGTATTAAATAAAAAGTTTTATTTAAGTAATATTTAATTAAAGATAAATATTAAGTTTTATTAATAAATTATTATGTCTCTATTTTTTAAATAAAAAAACTAAATCTATTAAACTTAAATGAAGTTAATAATTCATAACTTTTTCTTAAATAGTTAGTTGTAATATTTAAAAATAATTGCCTATAAATTAATTTTAATTTATTAAATAATAAATATCAATTATTTTATTAACTATTTTTAATAATTGAATTAAAATAAAAATTTCAAAATTTGTGTCCCCCAAACAAATTTGGTTGTGGTTATGCCACAACCGTATAATAGTTTCTACAATACATAATTCATATTAATTCTGACTTTTAAAGAAAATCTTAATTTATATTTAAAAAATAAAATTTCAATTTAAAATTAAAATTTTAATCAATTTTTAAATTTAAATATCAATATTTAATAAAATAATTTTTAAATTTTAATTTATATTTTCATTAAATAAAATGATATAATTTAAAATTATAACTTCAACTTTTTTTAAGAGTGGAGTTCACTATTAGAAAGCACATCATTTGCTAGTAAATTTACTCATTTGTTTTATGTAAATTAATATGCAATATTTTATTTAATGATACTTTATACTCTCTTACATCTAATTTAATTATGTTACTTTTATTTTAATAATATATTAAATGCTACTATTTCAAATCTACCCTTTCGAAGAGATTGGAACGTGTCAGGTTTTTTGGTTTATATAAATGCAAATAACAGTGAAAATGATAAAATATGTCCCAATTATTATAATAAATAAATTTTTAATAATCATAAATGGATAAAATGAGATAACTAAATTAGATTTAAAGGAATATTGTATAAAATATTGTATTTCAAAACATTAGGAAATAGTGTACATCAACTCAATTAATTCTATGGAGTCCCAATTCAAAAACATCAATCTCTAATAAATATTTTAAAATATTAATAGTTGATTTAACGTTTTATTCATATAAATTATTTATATTAATTTTTAAAATAATTAAATATATTTAACTAATTTAATAATTATAAAACATTTACACTGTCAAATATATTTTAGACAATATAGTTTTTTAATCAAATAATTATAAATATTGCTAGATCAACTTAAAAATTATAGTATTATGCATAATTTATATAAATAAATCAATTAATCTATTTTTTTATAGGTAAAAAAGAACTTTTATTAATGAAAGTATAATGGGTCCTGTAAACCCGTTTACAAAAAGATAATTTCTACCATATCAATTTACAAATTCATTACTCTAGCCCACAAAAAATCAGATTATGAGTTATCAAGTCGAAGACTTATTCCTCTGCCTTCAAGCTTCCTTTCGTGACAACAGCCATAAGTCCCAATCAAGATCATAATAAATATTAGTTTTAATCAAAAAAACGATCGACATTTGATAAAATCATTTAATCTATTGATTGGCCTTTTCAAAATATTTCGTTGAAAGATTGTATTTTTGAATTAAGACTATATGAAGTTGACTAATATATTTACCCAATTCTCAAAACATTATGCTTGTGCATTCCCACCTCCTAGGTTCCATATACCAAGCACCTTGGAGATCAAAATTGTGTCCCGGCTAGACCATTCCATGTGCTCTTATGGATGTGTTTTCTTTCTTTCTTCTTTTTTTCTTTCCCTCGTCAATTTACTTGGTAAGTTAGGAATGATAAAGGATTAAGGTCAATTATTTTCTAAAACGGACACCATTCTTATTGTCTTCCGAAACCCCACTCAAAAGAGTTAAATCCAAGGCGGCAGGGCGGCAGGTTTGGGAGGACAGGGGCATAACAGCAAGTTGCTGTCCTCCTTTTCCTCCTCCCTTCTTTTTTTGTCAGCCTCTTCTCTTCCCTCTAATCATTTTGTTTCTTTATTTATTGTTTATTATGACCTGTGCCGCCATTGTGCATGTTTGTCTACGTTGAGTTGGGGATTTCTTTCCTTACGAAGGTTGTCTTTTATTGCGCATATTAAGTAGATCTCACTCGTTTTTTCTGAAACAAAAGGGTTCATAGATCCTGTTTGTTTCTTTTTATCTGTTAGATTAGAAAAAACAGCTAATAAAAAAGTTAATGATTTGACTTAAGCATCTAAGCCTTGGGCAAAAGTCTAAGATTTCCTCAAAACCCAAAGTCAACTTTGCAAAATTAATCTTTTTCCATGGAAAGAAATGGAAAGTCCAAATTGGGTGGCTCCAAAGTCCCAAAGGCTACTCCCTTTCTAAAAAATAATAATGACTCCGTGTTGATTATAACAAATAAATAATGATTCCATAAAAACGTTTGTGTTGATCCCCCATCGAATTAGAGTCAAGATAATTATAACGAAGAGATTATTATTTGTGTTGGAATTAATTAGTTGCCAACCACAATGATCCCCTAGTCACTTTTGTCATGATCAATAATTGTGAGGTGCAGCGCGTCCTTGTTGACACAGGGAGTGCACCAGACATCATGTACTTCCATTGTTTTGAAAGTCTTGGGTTGGATCCTGCTATGTTGCAGCGGTATGATGGTCCCATCTATGGATTCAACAACCAGCCAGTCCCAGTTGAAGGAGTCCTCACCATGAATGTTGCATTTGGAAGTGGCCGGAGTTATGTGACTCCTTCAGTTAGGTTTCTGGTAGTCAAGATGGCGTCCTCATTCAACGTCGTCATTGGCCGACCCACACCGACTGAAATCCGAGCTGTGGTTTCCCAATCTCACCTATGCATGAAATTCCCAACTCCTACGAGAATAGCAACGCTGCGAGGCAACCAGGAGGTGGCTCGACATTGCTATATCACCTCGGTAACACAACCTCAGAAGGGCAAGGCTCAGACACCCGATATTAATCCCAAACGGGTTCCTAATGATCGGCAAGTTATGGGTGTTGAGATAGTAGATAACCGACCAGAAGATGAAACCAGAGCTGCTCCAGTCGAAGATGTGGAGGAGGTACAGATTGATGACAGAGATCCGAGCCGGAAAACGCAAGTTGGGACTAAATTGAACCCGGAGGAAAGAGCAGAGCTAATAGCTTTTCTTCGGGCCAATAAAGATGTTTTTGCATGGACTTCAGCAGATATGCCGGGAATTCCCACTTCAGTTTCTCAACATAAACTCAGCACCAATCCACTCAAGAAACCAGTAGCCTAGAAGCGACACCTTTTTGGGGGGGAGAGGTTAAAGGTTATTAAAGAAGAAGTTGAGAAACTCCTACAAGCCGACTTTATCAGAAGGGTAGATTATTGTGAGTGGGTCGTCAATCCAGTGCTGGTGAAAAAAGCGAACGGTAAATGGCGGATGTGCATTGATTACACTAACCTCAACGATGCATGTCCAAAGGACTGTTATCCAATGCCAAACATTGATAAGCTGGTTGAGGCGGCTTCAAGAAATGAGAGATTGAGTCTCTTGGATGCATATTCAGGGTATCACCAGGTGCCAATGGCTCCCGCAGATGAAGACAAAACCTCGTTCTATGCCGGCGATGAAATCTATTGCTATGTGATGATGCCCTTCGGCTTGAAGAACGCAAGTGCCACTTCCCAGAAGATGGTCACCATCGTATTCCGAGCTCAAATAGGTCGGAATCTGGAAGTTTATGTTGATGATATAATGGTGAAAAGTTTGAAAGCTGAGGATCACTTAGTTGATCTCGAGGAGACATTCAACAATCTCAGGAAGAACAGAATGACGTTAAACCCAGCAAAGTGCATCTTCGGTGTGGAGTCAGGAAAATTTCTAGGCTTCATGGTATCTAGAAGGGGGATTGAGGTCAACCCTGAAAAGATCAAAGCAGTAGCCGAGATGGAGCCACCGAAGTCGATAAAAGATGTAAAGAGGTTGATGGGGAGAGTAGCAGCTCTGCATAGATTCATTTCGAAATCAGTAGATAAATGCTTGCCGTTCTTCAAGATTATGAGATTGGCAGCCCAGAAGGATGAATCTGGTAAACAAAAGAAGTTTGAATGGAATCCAGAATGCCAAGATGCATTTGACAAGCTGAAGTCTTATCTTAGCTCACCTCCTTTGCTGACAAAGGCCGAGGATGGAGAAATCCTTTACTTGTACCTCGGCATATCAGATGAAGCTATCAGTTCTGTGCTAATAAGGGAAGAGGGGAAGCAATAGAAACCAGTCTACTACATCAGTAGTGTATTACATGGAGCTGAAATTAGATATTCCATTGCTGAGAAAGCAGCCTTAGCAGTTGTCACTTCGGCCAGGAAACTAAGACCGTACTTTCAATCACACCTAATCATAGTCCTCACGGACCAGCCACTCAGACAAATTTTGCAGAAGCCAGAATGTTCGGGGAGATTGATCAAATGGGCAGTTGAACTGGGCGAATTCGAGCTCACATTTCAGCAGAGGTCAGCAATCCGAGCTTAGGCTCTTGTTGATTTCATAGTAGAATGTACCTCGGCTCACTCTGATTCCCAGTCCGAGGTGGACAGTTGGATTTTGTATGTTGATGGTGCATCAAGTAACAAAGGTTCTGGCGCTGGTGCACTCCTACTTGGCCCAAAGGGGTATCGAAGCGAACACGCTCTAAAATTTAATTTTGATGCCACCAACAATATGGCCGAATACGAAGCCCTGCTCCTCGGCTTACAGCTAGTGACAGAATTGAAGGTTGAAGCGATACAAATATACAGTGATTCACAGTTAGTAGTCAATCAGGTTAACTCAATCTGCGAAGTGGTTGATCCTATTATAATGAAGTATGCAACTCTGGTGGCCGAACTGAAATCCAAATTCCAGAAATTCCATTTAAGCAAAATCCCTCGAGCTGAGAATGAGCAAGCAGACTCCCTCTCCAAGTTTGCTTCAGATGGCAACCAAAGCTCCAGATCGATCTTTGTAGAAATTTTGGACGAGCCTAGCTTCTTTAAGCCACGAGTGATGAAGGTCAGCACAGATCCTAGCTCGTCGAGCTGGACAGATCCAATTATCTCATTTCTACGAGATGGCACAGTGCCTACAGATAAACAGGAAGAGATGAGGTTGCGGAAAAAGGCATCTCGGTATACCCTTGTTAATGACGTCCTCTACAAGAGATCTTTCTCACTCCCTCTGCTCCGCTGCCTAACCCTTTACGAGGCTGAATACGCACTTCGGGAGGTGCATGAAGGTGTCTGTGGAAGTCACGTAGGTGCTCGAACTTTGGCCCATAAAGTCCTTAGACAAGGTTATTATTGGCCCAACATGTATAAGGACGCCATCCAGTTCGTACAGAGGTGTCAGAAGTGTCAGTTCTTCGCACATCTGATCCACCAGCCTGCAGAAGAGCTCACTACTCTGGTAGCACCTTGGCCATTTGCTCAGTGGGGTCTTGACCTTTTAGGTCCATTTGTAAAGGGGGTATGAGGTGTAACCAATCTCATCGTTGGTGTGGATTATTTCACAAAATGGGTCGAAGCTCGGGCACTATCCAGTCTTACCTCCAAGAAGGTCGAAGACTTTGTTTTCAACTTGATTATTTGCCGATATGGGATCCCGAATCAGATTGTAGCTGATAATGGAACTCAGTTCAATTGCTCCTCATTCCGAGATTTCTGTTCCAGTTACGGGATTAAACTACAGTTCACCTTGGTTTACCATCCGGAGTCCAACGGCATGGTCGAATCTGTTAACAAATGCATCTTAGAAGGTATCAAGCTGAGGTTGGAACAGCACAAGGCCAAATGGGCAGACGAGCTCAACAATGTCCTCTGGGCATACAGAACTACGAGCAGAACTATCACAGGTATTACTTTACACCTGGTCTACTTGATTAATTTTATGTCATTTTACTTCTTTACCTTAGAACAAATATGCATAACGCGTAAAGTGAATTCTAAAGTTATAATCAAATGAAATAGGTGAAACACCCTATCATCTGGCTTTTGGCACCGAAGCAGTCATTCCTATCGAGATAGGAGTCCCAAGCTTCAGGGTCACCCATTTCGATGAAGGACGAAATGGACAACTGCTTCGGGAAAACCTTGATTTGCTTGACGAAGTCAGAGAAGAAGCACGACTTTGAACTCTAGTCTACAAGCAAAAGATAGCAAACTTCTACAAAAAACGAGTTCGACCCTGAACTTTCAAAGTATGAGACCTTGTTCTCAGGAAAGCTAGCCTCACGGGGTTCGAAACTCGATTTGGAAAGTTAGCACTAAACTGGGAGGGCCCCTACACTATAGCCGAAGTGTCGCACCCAGGTGCTTATATCCTATAGGACACCGAAGGCAAACGGGTTCCTAGAGTTTAGAATGTCAATAACTTGAAGAAGTTTTACCCTTAAGTATACCTCATTTAAGTGAATTTTGTCCATTCCTTCCGCTCAATCTAATGTGTATTTGAACTCAATTCATTTATCTCTTTAATAAGTTTCACTTCATATTCGAAGTAATTCAGTTCTGTGTACTCATCTATACGTTGAAAGTGGATCTCGCTTATTTCTGAAGTCTGTTCATTCTGACTCATTCAGTCACTTCATTTTCTGAGTTATCATCTTGTTAATCAGTTATGCTTTTGAAGTGTTTTATTTTATCTTTTCTTATCTACATGTTTGAGGGTTGAAGTCAATTCCCTTGCAGCTCATTTTACTGTGTTCGAGGTCAACCCTTTGTGTCAATTGAAGTCACTTTATTTCATCCGAAGTGATTTACTTAAAACAGACACAACAAACAGACATCAAAATATGCAAGTCACAAATAACTTCAAAAAAAATTTTCAATTAATAAAAGTCAATTACAAAAATATTCATTACAAGAGTCAAACGTAAAATCCTAAATTACTGGAGGAGGAGGCTGCTCCTCAGGCGGAAGAGGTGGCGATCTGGGCTCGTCCTTAGCAGGCGGAGGCGGCACTTCTTCTTCGGGCGGAGCTAGTTGCTGCACTTCGTCGGAGGAGACTGGATGAACAACAGGAGGCTGAGCTTCGGACTGGTTGGCCTGATTCTCCTCTCCTGCACCTTGCTCTTCTTCTTCTTCTTCTTCTTCTTCTTCTCCCTCCACGGCCACCAATTCAGCATTAAAGGTTGGAGGAAAAACAGTGCGCCCCTCTGCATCACGTTTTCACCTCAGCTTGATCTGAGGCCGGAAATTAGCAGAAAGGCCCTCACCATCTTCCTCCACTCCTTCTTCTCGTTCCCCAAAGGTGACCATTGTGACGTCCACCTCTGGGTACTGGGCATTCACCTTCTTTCTACAGTCGGTGAAGGCCAGAATGGCGGTCGGCAGCCGGTACAGCTTGAGGATGCCCTCGAAGGTGCTGGAGTTGAGGAAGTTGTCAATATGCTCTTCCATCCCGTTGTGCACCAGCAGATTCACGTTCTTCTTCAGCTCCGCCGCTCCTTTCCTCATCTTGTCAATGTATTTGTCTTGAGCCTCGAGCTTCTCCTCACAGATCTTCCTTTTGCGTTCTTCAAGGACAAGCTTCGTGCTCAAGACGTCATTCTCGTTCTGGAGCTCGGTCACTAAAGGCAGAACTTCGTCCAGCCTTCTCTGCATCTCCCTTTTCTCCTTCTCCCACTCCTCTTTCTCCTTCTCCCACTCCTCTTTCTCCTTCTGCAACTCTTCCTTCTCCTTCTGCAACTGCTCGCACTGCCTCTGCAAGTTGGCACGATCTCTCACGCTCTCCGCGTACTCCTACGCTAGAGCGTTTGTCCAGCTTGCACTCTACAAGGTAAGCAGAAGTCAGACATCAAACACAAGAGTAAAAATAAAACAGGACTAACCTACAGCTCCCTTACATACCTCCAAGGCATGCCTCACCACAGTAGCTCCTAGCCGGCTCACTGCCTCATCCCTCGCTTGCCTCCTATCCACCTCAAGGAGAGTACAGTTGAGGAAGTGCTTCGCCCCAGTCGTGTTTGCTGCCTCAAACAAACTCTTCTCGTGCAAATGAGGAGGGATGAGCTCCTTGCCTCTGCTAGGGCCTCGCACCTTGACCCTTTTCCTCTCCCTGACCTCAGGATTGATTTCAGGAGCAAAGGGGCGAGGCACGAACTCAGTCACCTCATCCCCCCTCACCTCTGGTTCAGCTACCTTCCTCTTCTTTCTCTGAAGTGGTACCACCTTCTCACTCACCTCCTCACTTCCCCCCCTTGCTGGCTTTGGCCTCTGTTGTATCTTCAGCACTCGAGCAGAAGTGCTGGGTAGGCGCTCTTTCTCTGCCGCCCCTTTGTCCGCCCCAGTTGAAGTCTTTGACTTCTTCCTTGGCTTCTTCGGGATGTGCAGCCCCCCAGCAGCATTTATAAACTCGTCCATCTCAGCTGCAAAACAAGCACAAAGGTTAAAACACACCAACTAAGATCTAACCAAAATAGCACAATGTAAACATACACAAACCTTCGCTCAATGAGCTTGGCCCATAGAGCTCAGCAGCCTCTATTGCCTGCGGACTGGTGAGGTACAGGATATCCACCACGTCTCCTTCCTCCCTCACCAGCTTCTCTACCTCCTCCACCTCATTCTCATTTAATTTATAGTTGTTCTGCTTGGTTTTCTTAGCTTTCCAAGCAGACAACTGCTCCACCTCGGCATCCCCCCTACTCCACTCGGTGTCATCCACAAAGAAGAATTTTTCTTTCCATCCTTTGATGGATGATGGTCCAGCAGAGAATAAACTCTTATTCTCTTTGCTGGACGGCCGAGGGCCGAAGTAGTACCATCCCTTCTCACCTCTACCCCCACCCCTTATCACAAAAAAAATGCTTAAACATATTTACCGTAGGGACCCCAACCCCCCGAGCTCTGCAGTATACAAGAAAACCTATTATTACCCTTATGGCATTTGGGGTTAGTTGGGTTATTCATATACTGTAATCTAATAACAACCCAACCAGTAATTCTGGGATGGGGAACCTAAGCCCTGCAATTAAATAATGCACGTACAGGGGCATCCAATGATCTTGGGGTGCTGAGCTTGCTCGCTCGTTCACCTCGGTCGGCCTAATCAGGACATGGTGAGGGAGGTTGCAGTTCTCTACCAGACCCCTAAGGCTGCTCCTATTGCCCAGTTCGCTCACATACCCTTTCACCTCGGACACTATATCTAAGTTTGGGTCATAACTCCCTTCTACACCCCCCCCCAGCCTCCAAAATATTTGAGGGGATCTCATCTTCCTCCTCCTCTACTACTATTTCCTCCCTCCTCTCCTCCATTGTCCTCTCTGAACTGGTGGGAGACGGACTGCTCTCCGAGTCCATGCTCCCGTAATCCAGAGGCATCACTTCACTCCCCACTACACTCATGGCCCCTTCTGAAGACATCTCCTCAATTTCTGCATAAAGTGGGAGGAGGAATAGAGTCAGGACCCTCAACAATGCTAACACACTCAAATACATTCTCACCCCCAACCCTAATTTCCTTCCAAAAACCCCAACTCAACCACAGAAAGGGAGGAAGGAGAACAACACTTCGACAAAATCAAAGTAAAAAATTCATAAACTTTACCTAATTTCGGTCTTGAAAACTTTTGTTGAAGTCTTGATTGAAACGCAAACCGCACGAAACCGTAGAAATTTAGTAGCAATTCAGCAGAAATTTTGAAGCAAAATCGCGAAAGTAAAAATCCCTCTTTACAGAAGTTTAGCCTTTTATACCAAAGGCAAAATACGCCTCAACGGCTGTGATTAACCCCATCTAACGGCTGCAAATACACCGTTTCGAATTCGACGGTTAACCCCAAACGGTACCGTTTCAAACTCGACGGTTCGTTTCCTAAACATACCCGTTAGACTATTACATTTCTCTTTTTACAGCGGCATTTATTACGCACATCATTCAGAGGACAGCTGTCGCGTCGCATACCGCCTCTTTGTCAGACTTCTTAGATGGGCCCACTTAAGCCCATTTCAACACTCTTGCTCACCTTTATCCATTTTAAAATTTTGCGCAAAGTGTTTTACTTCGGCTACGGCCACAGTAACCCAGTGTCACACGTTTTATTTCGACTACGGCCACAGTGACCCAGTGTCACACGTTTTACTTCGGCTACGGCCACAGTGACCCAGTGTCACATGTTTTACTTCGGCTACGGCCACAGTGACCCAGTGTCACATGTTTTACTTCGGCTACGGCCACAATGACCCAATGTCACACGTTTTACTTCGACTACGGCCACAGTGACCCAGCGTCACATGCTCCACTTCGGCTCTGGCCACAATGACCCAGTGTCACATATTTTACTTCAGCTCTGGCTACTTTTTATTATGGCTCCTACTTAACTGTCGATTATGGTCATCAATACATGTAAAGTTCCAAATTTTTATTTTTATTTTTATTTATTATTTTTTCTCTCGCAACCCATCTATAATATCTTTATCTCTATTTCTTTCTATTTATGCACTACCCTTATCACTTCCAACAACATCATTCACAAGTGAATGACTTCGGGGGGGATTAGTGTAAGGGCAGGACTGAGGTGCCCAGCCTCGGACATACGACAGTAATTCCCTTACAATCGGAGTAAAGAGTAAATCCAAAGCTTCCCGCTCGGATAGCTATACAGCAGTTATGATGGACATCCTCGCATCTAAATATCTCTCAATTCCCCGGTCTCAAAATAACTGTCTGGAGATACACATCAGATCCCGAATATCTTGCTTGGCTCAATCTCCCGGTCCCGAAATAACCGCCTGGAGATACACATCAGATCCGAAGTATCTTGCTTGGCAGGCCACGTAGACTCTTCATTGGAGCATATAAATGCCCCCCAAGGGTCATGCCAAAAGGTAATTGAAACCAACCATAAGTTCCTTTCATCTCCGCTCTAAAGGTAGCCTCGATTATTGCTGACTTAAGCATCGGAGTGTCTACCCCGAGAATCCACCTCGGGGCTTTGCAGGTCAATCCGGAGTGCAGACGCGAACTGAAAAAGGACTTCTGGTTTGGTGCAGTTACACCAGTCGAATCAGTGAAATTTTTTTATGATTGTATCGAAGAACATTGAAACCAAATTTTCTCAAATTCACAACATAATAATTTGATGTTTTTATTATTTGTAAAAAAATACTTAACTTGATGCTTAGATTATGAAAGCCACATAATCAAGATTTGAGTTTAATTTTGTAGTGTACACAAGTATTACATTAAAAAAAAAATTCCTAATCTGATTTTAATTCGGTATAGTTGTAGGTTTTTTTATACATTCAAAGCTAATTATTTAGTATTATAGAAATTTGTATACAGTAAAAGTTAATTGTTTGGTATTACAAAAGTTTTTAGATTAATATTAATTGCAAAACAAAATTTTAAAATTACTTAGTATTAACTAGACTAAACAACTATCAGTTAACCAAAATTTCATGAAGTAAATTTTAAAAGATGTTAGTGCAATTGAGTCTTTATTTTTAAAAAAAAATAGAGTTTTAATTTATATTAAAAATTTAAACTCCAATTTAAAGTTCAAAAATTCATTTTATTAAATATTAAAACTTAAATTTAAAAATCAAT